GATGGCCAAAATTGGCGCACTCGATTTTCAACGGTGACTTCTGCCACCGCGCAAACAAATGACCTGAAAATCTATCTCAATTTCCTGTTTTCTTCCAATCTACACCTGCCTGGGGTTGATCTTCCATATAGATGTTTATTGTCCAAGAGACCCCCACCTCTAACTAACAGCCCGTCCTAACAGGGTAAGGAAATTGCTCTATATCTGGCTGTCAAAGGCTGATTCGGTCCTGTACAAACTCCCTTATCCATCTCTCCTTCACCGGGGCTTACCCTTTCTGTTTTCTGTATGACCAAAATGAAGATTACTGTAAACTTAGCCAGAAACTTCAAGAGGTTACCAATATACATTCTGCAAATACCATGGGACAGACCTGGGCCATCATAATTGCACACCAACTACTGAATAACACTGCCTGGTCGCTTTGGAGAACGCTGGTTTTGGGTCCCTCTGGGGTCAGAGTCCTGACCATCATCCATAGCCTCACCCATTGGGCTACTAGACACTGTTACCTTGTCTCCAACTGCTCCCAACCAAATACCACGACCGCCTCTGATTCCCTTTGATATTGCAGACTGTTTTAACTCCTCGGGGGCACACTTTATGGGCACACTGATACCTCAGACTGTAATCATACTTTGACTCTGCACTGCCACCCAGACCTTATGTCTGAACGTCCTCAGTACCTCTATCCGCTGTGGCACTAAGACTTCCTACTGTCTACCTGCTGGGTGGTCTGGCCCTTGTACCATGGTGTTTCTTTTTCCAACATTAGGAGTGGTACTTGGTGAAGATCAGCATCCCCATCACAGGGTTTACGGTGGTACGGCATGACAAATAGTGCAGATCCCACTCTTTCTTGAAATCCTGGCTATAACCACTGGCATCGCCACTGGAGCTGTGAGACTGACTACTTCCCTAGCGATCTACCATCAGCTTTCATATAAGTTCATCCAGGATCGCCAACAGGTGGCTCAGAGCATCCCTACCTTCTAGGGCCAAACAGACTCACTGGCCGCCATAGTGCTACAAACCCAACAAGGATGAGATTTCCTAACAGCAGAGACAGGTGGCCTTTATCTCTTCCTCGGGGAGGAATGCTGCCTCTGTGTTAACCAACTGGGTACAGCAAAAGACCAGATCCAATAAGTTCAGATGGATCTCCAAAACCATAAAAGCTCGATGCCTTTGGCTAGTGGATTATTGACAGTCCAATATGGACTGGATACTACCCTTCTTAACCCCTAGTCTCTTCGTTTCCTTTTTTTTTTCTTTTTTGAGACAGGGTTTCTCTGTGTAGCCCTAACTGTCCTGGAACTTGCTCTGTAGACCAGGCTGGGCTCAAACTCACGGAGATCCACCTGTCTCTGCTTCCTGAATGCTGGGATTAATGGTGTGTGCCTCCACAACCCGGTTCTCTCCTCTTGATGTTTTTCTGTTGGCTTAGGGGCTGCACATGAATCTGTTGATATTTTAATTATCATCTGCCGCCCTAAAGTCCCTCACTCAGTTCCCTGCCAGCCTTTTAGTGGCAGCCTGGCAGGGCTTCTGGTTCTGCTGCTCGGGTTCTGCAGTGGCCACCATGTGCCACAATGTGTCTGTTTATCAATAAGACTCAGATGTCAAAGGCTGGGGTGAAAACCTGCTAGCTCAGAGAGGCTGAGTAGCAACTGGCTGACCTTGGTTTTTGGTCAGATGCACCACAGAGACAGGTCTCTTGTCCCAGAACCGAGAGGAAGCTCAAACTCAAGTTCCCACCTTTTCCTTCCTGTGTCTCTTCTCTATCCATGATGCTGACTTCTCTATGACTGATTCTGGTCAGCTAGTCGCTGGCTCAAGGCATAAAGTTATTGGGCAGTCTCAGGAGTATCAGGGTGTGATCAAAATATCCCACAACACCTCCTTTTCTTAATCCTACTAGTTCATCCCTACCTTATAGACTTCTTGTCTAGATTTCTTCAACAACAGATCCAAAAGATTTTTTAACCAGACTTTTAATCAATTGCTATTATAGGATTACCAGCCCCAACTAAGAAGGCAGAGGCCTGCGCCTCCCAATTATACCTTGATGGTGAAGGTCAAGTGTGGCCAAAGGACTTTGATGCCCCCATTTAACAGGAAGTAGTCTAATGATATCATCCCTTCTCAACCCTTCAGTGTGCTGGAGACAGCAAAGCACAGCCCCCCCTTGATGCACTGTTCCTGAGATGCAGAAAGCAATTCCCTCCAGACAACCCAGTGGCAGTTAAATGAGCATGTTACTTGAGGACCAAGGAGAAAACACCTACATGCCCCAGGACCACTTCCATGGCGTCTGCATACACATTTGGCAAAGTTACAGCGGATTTTGGTTATAGCAATTCTACCAGTGTGCTTGTTTTTCACGTTCTCTTTCTCCTTCCACACCAGTGACTTCTGAAAATATGGATGTGCTGGACAATACTGAGTCTTGCTGATCTGATAGAGCGGGCAGGCATTGAAGCTGTAAAGCAGGTTATGGGGTAAACCTGACTGATGAAAAAATTGGGGAAATTTGGGGAAAAAATGCAGAAATTGTTCTTTGCCTGATTATGAAACTTGGCAAAAGAATTATACTGAAACAGGAAGGAACTTGGCTATGATAAGGTTTCTAAAGAACCTGGGGCTTTAGGGTTGACTGCCTATGGCCTTATAAATTAAAATTGGAATTGTGAGGAACAACAATGGGAAAGGTACAGCAATGGAGTAAAACCCACTGAACTATGCTTCTGTAAACTGCGGGTACTTAGTTGTTTTATGATTAACTCAGCTAAGAATTAAGAATACAGTGCGCTGGCATGGGCTTGGGAACTGGGAAAATGTCATAATGAATGATGATGTTCTGATTTCAAGGGATCTTTGTATTTTTTGTGAACTGCTTTGCCCAGGTAATGATTAACCTGTGATAAGAAAAAAAAAGTCAATTTCCTTGTGTAAAATTTACAATAAAAGACTGAGGTTTGAAGTTCAGGGTCAGAGAGAGAGAGAGAAGCCTCCCCTGCAGCTGATGGCTTGTCAGCTGACATCAGAATCCTGTGTTCGTGTACTTGCTCTGCCTTCCAGACATCCCAGATTCGAGACCCTCTTTTCTGCTCAGGCTGGTCCCTGGCATTAGTGAGAATGTAAGCCCCTCGAGGCCCATGAGTGGTCAGGCCCTACCCCTGAGAACCTCCAGCCATCCGGTTCCATCCACACAGCACTCTAACATCCCTAACAGCTGGACCCAGCCCCTGCACTAGAGTGAAAATCCCAAGATCAGGATGTGAAATCCCATCAATTCCTGAGCTTGCTGCAAGTTCTGGCCTTGAAATCCCACCAATTCCCAGGTGCTGGGGAGATAGGTCAGCAGGTACAGTGCTTGCCATGCAAGCATAGGACCCGAGTTCCATGCCTGAAACCATGTGAAAAAAAAAAAAAAACAGGTGCAGAGGTGCAAACTTGTAACCCTGGTGGTTGGGAGGTGGAGACATGTAGGGTTCACTGACCAGGCAGCCTAGCTACTTGCTAAACTCCAATCTGTTGAGACCCTTCTTCATAAAACAAGCTAGCTTCTGAGAACTGAGGTTGTTCTCTGGAATATACCACATGCACACACGCACACTCTCTCTCTCACACACACTTCAACATTTGAATATGAGCAATATGATACAAGCTGTATTTTTTCTATCCACCTCCAATTTCAACTATCTTGTAGATTTTCCTGTGTTGATGGAAGGGAATGTTGAATGTGCCTCTTTCTCTATTTAGTACATTTCAAATAATTAATGTGGTTAAAGGCAGCCCAAGTTTATTACATTACTATATTAAGACTCGGGCTATGACTAGAAGCCTTTGTCCACATGTCTATTCCCATTTTCCACCATGGTACAGCTAGAGCTACCTTCTCACATGACATCTGGGGGGGGGGGGTCAGTGAATCACTGTTTTGCCTGCTCGCCTGTGTATGCAACCTCATGAATGCCTGGCACCTGCAGAAGCCAGAGGAGAGCACTGGACCCTCTGAGCTGCAGTTAGAGCCTGTTGTGAGTCACCAAGTGGGTGCTGAGAACGAAACCTGAGTCCTCTGCAAGCCTTTCAACCACTGAACCAACCGTCCCTCGAGTCCAGAATCCTGTCATTTGAAGCTCTGTCATACTGGGGGTATTTGTAGTTATCTTTCTTCTGAGTAAAATAATCTCATGCTATGAAAGTTCAGAATTATTTGGTAGTATCTAGCAAAGCTGACCGAATCCTAAGACACAGCCATTCCGTTCCATGAATATACACAGAAAAGTGCATATGTGTACATTTTTATTATGAACCTGATCAGTAAACAAAGTAGAAGCCCACTGATAGCAGAACGAGTACAAATGATATGCTTATATAATGGAATTCTATACAGAAGAAAAGATGACCTTCTGCCGCATGCACTCATGACTGGACTCAGAGACAATGAGTGGATGGAGCTGAGTGAAAATCCATTTTATATCAAGGTTTATAATGTGTAAAACCCAATTACAATGTTACAAGTTGAACTGTGGTTAACATTGAGGAGGTAACAATTTTTACTTCATACAGACAAACTGCATTTGGACAGTAGTCTATTACTGATTTACAAGAAATGCATGTCTTTCATGAGATGGGAAATAAGCAAATGTGAATGGTTACAGCAGTTCATCAGAGGTCAGTTTAATCTGCTGAACCCAGGAATACAACAATGAAGCCTTTATTTTCCATTTTTGGTAATTTAATTTACCCAGTGGTATTTCTATGTGTGACAGGTTAACAAGCAGCAAACATAAGGAATCGAACTTGAAGCACTCAGTACCAAAAATTCTGCAGGCTTGGTGGTGCACGCCTTTAATCCCAGCACTCGGGAGGCAGAGGCAGGTGGCCCGCTGAGCCTGGTCTACGTTCTGGCCAGCCAAGGCTACATTATGAGACTCTGTCTCAAAAACCTAAAAAACAAATAAAATAAAAAAAAATCACAGCACTCACTGAACATTCTCTGCCCTGTGAGTTTTCTGGTGGGCAATGAGGTTTGACTTACAACTGAAGAATTTCCCACACGCCTTACACTCGTAGGGTTTTTCTCTGGTGTGGGTTTTCTGATGGCGAATGAGGTTGGATTTCCTACTGAAGGCCTTTCCACACTGGGAGCAGCCGTTGGACTTCTCTCCTGTGTGTATTCTGTAGTGCACAGTGAGGATCGCCTTCTGGCGGAAGGACTTCCCACAGTCACTGCAGATGTAGGGCTTCTCCCCGGTGTGGATTCTCTGATGGAGGGTGAGAGTTGTCTTCTGGCAGAAGGACTTGCCGCAGTCGGTGCAGATGTACGGCTTCTCTCCGGTGTGCGTCCTCTGGTGGACGGTGAGGGTTGTCTTCTGGATGAAGGCCTTCCCACACTCTGTGCACTGGTAGGGCTTCTCGCCTGTGTGAGTTCTCTGGTGGTCGACGAGGTAGGACTTCTTTCTAAAGGCACTGCCGCACTGAGCGCACTCGTAGGCCTTCTCGCCCGTGTGTGTTTTGTGGTGTCTGGTGAGGGTTGCCTTCTGGCGGAAGGACTTCCCACAGTCCATACAGAGATAGGGTTTCCCCTCTATATGTGTCTTTTCATGAAGCGTCAGGGCTGTCTTCTGCCGGAAGGCTTTCCCACACTGGCTGCAAATATAGGGCTTCTCTCCCGTGTGGATGCGCTGGTGCTCGATGAGGTAGGACTTCCTCCTAAAGCTGTTCCCACAGTAAGGACACTGGAAGGGCTTCTCCATTTGAGATCTGGGGTGCATAATAAAAACGGACTTTCTGCAAAAGAATTTCCCGTATTTGTTGTACACAGAGGATTTCTTTTCCAGAAGATTATGTGGATGAATATCAAGGTCTGGCTTTTCTACGAAAGGCATTTCGTCTCTACTGTAGTTGAGGCTTGCATCTCCTCTGTGAGCTCTGTTATTTGGAAACACCATTCCTCTCGTAAAGAAGGAACTGTCACAGTCATTACATCCAAAAGGCTGCTCTGGAAGCTGGGTATTCTGCTGCTGAGCCGGCTGTCTGGAACTCAGGGCCCTTTCCGCTGGTTTGTGGAGAGAGGCTGCAGGGTGAGCTTTCTCACGCCTGCAATTTGGGATTGATTTCTCCCATCCACCGTCACCCAACTTCTCTCTTACAGGGTTTATGTCTCTATTAATGAATTCTGAAATATTTTTCAAAACTTTCCCATCAGGTTTACATTCAAATAGTGTTTTGGAAATAATATGGTTCTTGTCTAGTGTAAGTGTTTTTCCATAAATACTATTTCTCTCCTTAATTAGTTTCTTGTGGTTGATGATTACAATGGATTTAGAATGCTTGTCTTGGCAGTCTTTGAACTTCACCAAAACATCTTCATCTTCTAGAAGACAATATAATTAATTAGCAATACTTTAAGTCTCTAGATGTATATATAAAAGCAGTGGATATACAATACATGTGTATCTATACATAAATATATATAATAAATCTTTTTGTTTTTGAGACAAGGTCTCATGTAGATGCTGATCTTGAACTTGACATGTAGTCAAAGGTGGGTGACTTTGATTTCTGATTCTTTTCTACACACACACGGACACACACAACGCATACATGGAAAGTGCTAAGATTAAAGACGTGTCACTACAAGAGTGAAGACAGTCCCTTCGTGAACAAACACATCAGGACACCAGTGCAATACTGATGGAATGAGAGTCTCCTAACTGGGCATGGTGGCATCTGCCTCTAAGTAAGGAGATGTGGGTGATTCTAGTCTTCATTCTAGGTTCTGTTACAAGGGGTAAACTCCCTGTCTCCTTTGATCTGGAAGCATTTTTTCTTAGATAACTTTGTCTTAGGGTCACCACTGCTGTGACGAAACACCATGCCTGAAGCAACCTGGGTTGGAGAGGGGTTGTTTGGCTCACACTTCCACAGCACTGTTATCACCAAAGGAAGTCAGGACAGGAACTCACACAGGACAGGAACCTGGAGGCAGGAGCTGATGTGGAGGCCATGGCAGAGTACTGCTTACTGGCTTGCTCAGCCTGCTTTCTTATAGTACCTAGGATCACCAGTCCAGGGATGGCACCGCCCACCACGGGCTGGGCCTGCTCCCATCAGTCCCTAATTAAGAAGACACCTTACAGGCTGTGTACAGCCCAATCTTACGGAGATATTTTCTTAATTGCAGCTCCCTCCTCGCTGGTGACTCTAGTTTGTGTCAAGTCGACATTACACTACCCAGCAGTCTCAAACTCGCTATGTAGCCAAAGATGACCTTGAAGTTAGTTTTTAGAATTATACTTATTTACTTTTGTGTGCACATGCACCTGAGTGCATATTTACACATGGAAATCAGGGGACAATTTGTGGGAACTGGTTCTCTCCTTCCACCATGGAGCCCTTGGGAGATGAATTCAGGTCCTCAGGCTTGGCAGCCCCTGCACGACCTCGCCCACCCCCTCCTTTCCACTGCTTCCTCCTTTACCATTCTCTGTCTTGTCTTCAACTCCCGCGACTCCACTACTATGTCCCCCTTCGATTCTCTGCCTTTTCATACCGCTATTCATCCATGCTAGAACCCCCTCTCCACTCCAGCTGCTACAGGTGACTTCAGGCTCCCTAACCCTGTGGGGAACACTAAAGAACTCAGGATCACTAACACAATTGCTTGTGCTGAGAAGAAGCAGCTCTTCAGAAACAGTTTTCAAAGTGGTGGGTCCTAGAGAAGACTGCCACATCTGGCTCCTAGGATTCCACGGTGAAAGGAACCGCAGTGGAAAAGCACTGGTCCGGCATATGTGAGTACCCTGGGTTCCCTCCCTAGCACTTGACAGACGCTTTCCACGTAACAGAGCAGATACCTGCCATCCAGGAAGGATGGGCACAGTACTGCACTGTACTGGTTCCTGCCATCATCTTCAGAGCGAAAGCTGTGAGGTCACTGTGTTGTGTCTCCTGTGTGTTTACGCTTGCCAGTGTTTGCATTATCCTCACACACATGAACATGCATGCGTGCGTGCGCACACACATGCAAGCACACACACACACACCCCCAAAGGAAATGAAAACACTAGCTTGAAAATAAAAATAAAATGTTTTTACTTCAAAAGTGCATTTTAGGGGCTGGAGAGATGGCTCAGTGGTTAAGAGCATTGCCCGCTCTTCCAAGGTTTCTGAGTTCAATTCCCGGCAACCACATGGTGGCTCACAACCATCTGTAATGAGGTCTGGTGCCCTCTTCTGGCCTTCAGGCATACATGTAGACAGAATATTGTATACATAATAAATAAATAAATATTTTTTTTAAAAAAAGTGCATTTTATGGGGATGGGGTAGGCGTGCACGTTTGTGTGGGTGTGAGTGAGCACATGTGTGTATGTGTGTCTGTGTGTAGGACAGAGGTTGAAACGGCTGTCTTTCTGAGTTGCTTTCTATCTCATTTTGTAAGACAAACAAAAACCAGAAAAGACTTAAACATCAAAAACCATGTATGAATCTTTCAACTATAAAGCTGGATAGAAGAAAATGGTCTAGAATAGATAAAACTAATTCTAGTAAAATTCAAAACTTAGTGGGAGGAAATGCTCAAGAGACTTGATGGGAATGACTGAGTTAATAGAAATACTCTTTATCTTGGCTGGGGCTTGGGATACACGGTCTACACATCTGTCAGATGAAGAGCTATGCGGCGGTCCTCTATTCTGTTCTATGTCCATCACACCTACAAGCTGACAATGAATTCTTGGTAAGATAGCAGGAGTCAGTATTTCTCCCTTCCTCATTTCCTCCCTCCCTCTCTCCCTCTCTCCCTCCCTCCCTCCATCTCTCCCTCCCTCCCTCCCTCCTTCCCTCTATCCATCCTTCCTTTCTTTTTAATGGCTCTTTGAGACAGGGTTTCTCTATGTGGTCCTGGCTGTCCTGGAGCTCTCTCTGTAAACTTTGTAGACCAGGCTGGCCTCAAACTCACAGAGATCCGCCTGGCCCTGCCTCCCGAGTGAAGGGTTAAAGGCGAGTGTCACCCCCGCCTGGCAGGGTTTCAGTTCTGGAGTCTGACACAACGCGGATGTAGTGCATGCCACTGAACCAGGTGCTTGAGTCGCTAACCACGGCAAACTGCACCTTACTGCAGTTCCCGACATTCAAAGCCGTCAGACGCTGAGATCAGCACCTAGAGGATGTGTTGCCTGGGCTTTAGCAGTTGTGTGACCACTCCCACTGGACCCATTTTCCTGTGAAGCATCAGAGACCACACGCAGCTCCTTGAATGTCTTAGGTGCGCCAGCACCGAGCTATGTCTTCACCCATCCCACACAAGTTTTCTGTCTACGACTCACCTAGACAGCTCTGATTTGGAAAAACTCTCTCTGCCCATAGCTCTTCTCCTTGTTCCAACTTGCGGATCATATCAGGCTTTGTTATGTGAAATCCTGATAATGAAGAAAATGAAAGGAAGGAAGGAAGGAAGGCATGGAGGGAGGGAGGGCAAAAAGAAAAGTGAGACTTGATCTAAACTGCTGGGACTCTAAACTACTAAGAAAAACACAACCTCAGGGTGGTACATGGGGTATAAATTAATGTCCTACCAGTTAATAATCATATATTCTGGGACTGGAGAGATGGCTCAGCAGATAAAAATACTGGCTGCTCTTCCAGAGGACCCAGGTTCAATTTCCAGCACCCATGTGGCAGCTCACAACCTTCCTTAATTCCAGTTCCAAGGGATTGGATGTCTGGCCTCTGCAGGCATCAAGCACACACATGGTTCACATATACACATCCAGGCAAAACACTCATATACACTAAATACACACTCATATACATTAAATAAACACTCATACACATTAAATAAGTCTTTAAAAATTGTATATCGGGCTAGGCGTGGTGGTGCATACCTTTAATCCCAGCAGAGGCAGAAGGATCTTTGTGAGTTCAAGGCTAGCCTGGTCTATGTAGCATCGAGAGACCCTGTCTCAAAAACAAAATAGTCTATTTTGCTAACTAAAAGAGTCACTCTGGCAGAGGAGATGTTTGTTAGTGATGTGCTTGCTGCTCAAGCGTGAGGGCCTGATTTTGAAATTCCTGAAAGGACATGAGAGACACTTACCCACAGAGACGAAGTGGCAATAGTTCTCCAACATCACATCCCTGTAAAGGGCCTTCTGGGCAGGGTCCAGGTGCTGCCACTCCTCCTGGGTGAAGTCCACAGTCACATCCTTGAAGGACACGGGTCCCTGTAAGGGCACACTGTAGCAGTTCATCCTGAAGTTACTAGAAATGGGGTAGAATTAAATGCTGGGGGCTAGTCTGGGAATGATCACTGGGTGAATTAGTTTTTAAAAATTCTATCTTTTAAAAAGATTTATTTATTTTGAGGTAGTTTTTTATGCTGATTTTATGTGTAGAAGTATTTACCTGGATATAGTATGTGCATCACACAGTTGCAGTGTCTGAGGAGGCCAGAAGAGGGTGTTAGGTCCCCTGGAACCGGAGTTACAGACTGTTGTGAACCTCTACATGAGTGCTGGGAACTGAATCAAGCCCTCCACAAGAGCAGCAAGTGATCTTTCTTGAAGGAAGGAGGTTTGAGACTAATCTCTCTATGTAGCTCCAACTGTCTTGGAATTCACTGTGTAGACCAGGCTGGCCCTGCCTCTGCCTCTGAGTGCTGGGATTAAAGGTGTGTGCCACCAACCTGACATCAGCAACCAGTACTCTTAATCCCTGGACGACCTCTCCAACCCCTTAATTGTGCTGTTTGTGCTCTCTCTCCCTCTCTCACACACACACACACAAACACACTCTCTCAGACACACACACACTCTGTCTCTCACACACACTCCACACACAGATACACATCTACACACACACAAACACACTTTCTAAAAATACATTCAGTAATAATATTGACTTTTATCTCGTGTTAAAAATACAAATAATCTTAGACCAGCCAGTTTTGTCCCAAATGCAGCTGGTTTACTGGTGGACCGACAGATAAAACCCTGATTCTGCTCATGAGAAGTTACGAGAGAAGCATATGAGAAACGTCCACCCAACAGGCGTCAAACACATGAAGAGGGGAAATGTACACAGAAAAATGCGTCACAGAACAAAGAAAATGTCATGTTGCAGTTTGAAGCTTCATTGAGCACATACAATTCTGTACTTAAGATTAAGTCTGTATTATAGGAATAAAAGGCATTAGGTTTTAAAAACTCATGGGACGTCTCTAATCTCAGCACTTGGAAGGCAGAAGCAGGTAGATCTCTGTGAGTTCAAAATCAGCCTCGTCTACAGAGTGAGCTACAAGACAAGCCAGCCAAATTTACACAATCAGACTGTCTCAAAAAAACAAAAGTTAAATAAATAAAAATTCACAGGAAAAAGAAGACCACTTAGTCAGTTAAAAGTCAGCAAAAGGGACAGCGTGCTAGGAGAGTTTTTGAGATGAAAAAAGCAAAGGCTACAGGAAGGCAGCCGTGAGTGCAGTAGGAGTAATACTGAACCACTTTCCTTGGAAGCACTGACCTTAAAAACGAGAGACAGCTCAGCGGTCAAGAATACTTGCTGCTTTTTCAGAGGAACTGGGTTTGGTTCCCAGCACCCACATTAGGAAGTTCCCAGCTGCCGTTAAATGCAGTTCCAGGCACTCCAGTACCTTCCCCTGCCCTCCCAGAGCACATACGGTGCACACACATGACTCACACACGCACACACACACAAATTAAAATAACCAAATTTAGAAATAGACTCAACAGAGCACTGTGGCACATTTAACCCCAGCAAACCAGGAAACAGGAAATAACAAGCTGGATCACAGGTCATAAAGGAACTGATGAGCATGGAATGGATAGGTGCTGATTGCTATGGGGTCGTTTGTTTCTGAGACAGGGTCTCACGTATTCCAGGTGAGCCTCAGACCTGTTACGTAGCTGAGGATGAACTACAGATCCTCCTCTCTCCACCTTTATTTTTATTTTTATTTTTTTTTAAAGGAGCTCTGGTAAAGTTTTATTAAAGGAAAACTTTTTACTTTTCACCAGTCTGTTCTGGCATGCTTCTAATAATGTCAGAATCACCTGGGTCAATGATGGCCAGCGTGCATACTCTGTAGTATTTTCCACACGCTGTGCCCAACTCAATGTTATTGCCACTGTAGTGATGGACACCAGTTTTAGCCAACATGGCATAGTATTCTATTTCAGATTTCCTCAAGGCGGGGCAGTTGTTGGCGAGGATCACCAATTTCGCTTTGCCCTGTCTGATCATCTTCAGAGTCTGTTTGTATCCCAGCACGTACTTCCCACTTTTCATAACAAGCTGGAGCTGAGAGTTGATCGACTCCAGAGACTTTTTCGTCTTCTTTGCGGCCACCATCTTCCTGCCTTAGGTGCGGGACGGGCCCCAACCAAGACCAGCCGCCAAGATGGCCGGGGAGCGAGAAAGGAAGGAGCTCCCACAATGCCCTCTCTCCACCTTTAGAACATTAAGACTGTAGACCTGTGCCACCATATCCAGGTGATGTGGTGCTAGGGACTGAGCCCGGAGCTCCATGCACACTAAGCAAACACTGCTGACTGAGCTACACTCCCAGTCCTTGCATGTTGAACACATGGTTCTGATGTTCTGTCCAGACAGACGTCTAGCATGGACAGAGGGGTCTGATAGTCACAGAATCTGTGAATCCAAAGTGATTCTGATTGTGTATACAGAAAAAGAGCATGCAAAAAAGTGAGCCAATTAAAACGGGGAAAACCAACACTTTAAAGGTTGGGAGATGAGGAATATTATGAAAGAAGATAGAAAACAGGACAAGGACAAGGTACTGCCTTTGATTCCAGGACAAACGACTTCAAGAATGACTAGCAACACATTTTCTTCTCCTGAAAGCGAATGCAAAATTTTAGAAGACAGATAAAAGACACTAATAAACCTGTAATAGTACTAACTACTGATACTGACCAGGCGGTGCACACCTTTAATCCCAGCACTCGAAAGGCAGAGGCAGGTGGATCTCTGTGAGACTGAGGCCAGCCTGCGCTACAGAGCGAGTACCAGGACAGGCTCTAAAACCCTGTGTCAAAGAAACAAACAAACAAACAAACAAAAAGTGTCGAATACTGAACAGGTTTCTCCTGGCAGGTCACAGTTGGTAGACATTTTGGACAGACAAGAATCAGAAAATTAGAGAGGAGGAACTAGAGAGATGGCTCAGTAGTTAAGAGCACTTATTGTTCTTACAGAGGACCTGGGTTCAGTTTCCAGCATCCACATGGAGGCTAATATCTGTTTCTAACTCCAGTTCCAAAGGATGGACACCTTCTTCTGACCTTCAAGGGCACCAGGCACACACATGGTACACACACAAACACCCAAACAAAACATTTCTTTAGAAATCTAAGCTGAGCGATGGTGGTGCATGCCTTTAACCTCAGCACTTGGGGAGACAGAGGCAGGTGAGACTCTGTGAGTTCAAGGCCAGCCTGGTCTACAGAATGAGTTCCAGGACAGTCAGCACTAAAATCTTAAAATCGTTGTCTTTTACAAGCCTCACTTTGGAACCCACCACGAATCAGGATTCTCTTACCTGTCTCCCTCGTGCCGGGATCACGTGCACCACCGTGGCCAGCTTTGTAACCTCTGTTTTCTGTACCACTTCATATTCAAACGTCTACCCTGAAACCCTCACATACAGGACATCTTCCCATAAACTAACCATGTGATCTAACAATTTTACCCCCTACCCATGCCTGCTTCTTGGGCACTCACAACTTAGATCTCAAGTCAGTGTCAAGATAAAATGGATTCATTCAAGTACAATAATCTATTTCTCTCTAAATCAAGACATTTTCATTACAGCAGTACTGCCGTAAGGAGGTGGACAAAGGGACAGTGAGCAATATAACGAGCCAGTCTGTAAACAATGGCCATACACAGAAGGTATACCTAGGGAAGGCTCAGTTCATCTGACTGGAATCGGGGAGGCAGGTGAGCCATCTAAAGGAGACTATTCGAGAAAGCACCCCCTTCAGCACTATAGACGGTGTCACACATCTCTCCAGCCTAGACCGTAACTAGAAACCCTGGCCCTAACTGAAAAAATGTTTTATGGCAGCAAATCCTAACATCCAGGCAGCAGAAAAGACATTGCTAAGCAAATGTTCCTATTTCCCAAAAGAAAAGAAAGAAAATATCTCACCTTAGGCATGGCTTTGAGATTCGTGAGAGATGAACCTCGTCGTCTGGGCTCCTCTTTCGGAAAAGGAAAGAGTCCTATGAAGGCAAAGATGGAGTTAGGTGAGGAGCCAGGAAAAAGGCATGCTCAAATTAGATCTCCTGGAATAACTCCATTAGATCCGCATACATTCCCAGTGTTTCTGCACATGCCTTCTCTGAGTGCACTTCCAAAACCCAGGACAAAGGTCTGTGTAGGAGTAAACAAGTCCTGCATTCTCTCCCAAACCAGAAACCTTGTCTTGCTGAGCTAGGAAGGATTCTGTGGAAGCTGCTGTAGCTTGCAAATGCAACGTTCTGTTCTGCACTCATCAATTTCCCAGGGCACACAGGTTTGCTGACCAGGTCTGGGGATGTGACTCCGAGCACAGCACTTGACAGTACAAGCAAGACTCTGACTACTGTGCTCAGCACTGCCCAAATCACAGCTTCTTCACGTCCTGTCCATCGACCTGTGCCATCACCAGCAGTACATAACATTACCTTCCCAAGCACTGATGGATCCAGGTGAGAAGTCCCGAATCTTTATCAGATCTGTACTGCCATCTAAAGGGATCTATTTCTTACTGTGATCAGCTTTCTTTACTACGTTGACCATTTCCCGTGTTGTAATGATGTCTGGCTTGTTATACCTCTGCCACGGGTATTTCCTAATTGGTTGGCTCCATCTTCTGATTTTTTTTCCCTCGTGTTCTATCACTGAACTATATTCTCAGATCCTATTTTCTGCTTAAGATGCAAATCGTTTTGAGAGTCAAATAACTTTTATTAGTTTCGTGTCTTTGGCTTTCATTGTGAAAATCTCCTCCTGTAAACTGTTTAGCTGTGTTTCATATTGTATAATCGATGTCTCCTTAACTAATAGTAAATGCCATCTTTTTTTTTCTAATTTTCAAAACGGGGTTACTCTGTGCAGCCTTAGCTGTCCTGGAACTCACTCTGTGGACCAGGCCTGCCCCTGTCTCCCAAGTGCTGGGATTAAAGGTCTGCACCACCACTGCCTGGCAAGTAAATGCCACCTTCATCACATATTATACTTCTTCACATGTTTCAAAAGATCTGGTCATGTTGTGTGATCTTTTACTCTTCTGACTTTTGGGGGGGCTCACCACCCAGCTCCCGAATAAATCTTACACGGAGGCTTATTCTTAGTTATGAATGCCCGGCCTTAGCGTGGCTTGTTTCTTTGAAGCGTGTTTGGAGGTTCTAGCAGGGGAGACAGCTACTCGTGTACGCTTGACCAAAGACCGGTCCTCCTCTTCTACCGAGTGTGCAGCTCCAGGAGGGACCACATGGAGTGGTGAGGGAGGAAGGGGACACCCGCTAGCCAGCCAGATCAGCTGAATCAATCCTGGCGATCAATGGGGTGACAGATGTCACAGCCAGATCGCCCTCACATCCAGCTTGGCTTGTTTCTTGCCAGCTTTTCTTAACTAATTACCTTTTGCTTCTGCTTTTACCTTTCTCTTACTTTTGTATATCTTATTTTCACTCTTACTCCGTGGCTGGCCAGGTGGCTGGCTCCTGACATCCTCCTCTCCTTGTTTTCTTCTGCTCCTGATTCTCCATGTTTATTTATTCTCTCTGCTGGCCAGCCCCGCCTATCCTTGCTCCTGCCTCGCTATGGCTGTTCATCTCTTTGTTAGGACCATCATGTGTTTTAAACAAGCACAGTAGCACAGCTTCACAGAGTTAAACAAATACAGCGTAAAAAAAAGTCACACACCTGAAAATAATATTCCCCAACATGGTCATGTATTATATTTCCCCACAGACAGAAAATATCTGGATTTTCTATTCCCATTTTATCTCCTTATTGATTTCATTGTATCGTACCATTTCAGAAGCATAGTTAGGGGCTGGAGAATGGCTCAGTGGTTAAGAGCACTCGCTGCTCTTGCAGAGGCCTCAGGCTCAGTTTCCAGCACCCACATGGTAGCTCATAGACACTGGTAACTCTAGCTCCAGTGGGGATAACCTCTTAAGACCGCCATGGGCATCAGGCATACACGGTGCAATACATTCATGCAGGCAAAACACTCATGTACATGAAAACAAATCTTTAAAAAGCATAGTTATATAAATAAACATGACTTATTACTAATACTTAATTCTAGAAGTAAATGCTGCACAACACGTTTTAGTAGTATAGGTAGGGACACAAAAAAGAAATTGGCCACCATTGCCAGTTTGCAGGCTCCCATTGGGCTAAGTCTGGAGTGCTGACTGCTCCAGTGGAATTCTGGTTGCCAGAGTTACTTTCATCACTAGGATGAGGCTGGTCTTAGAAGTAAAAGTGTGCTAACTATTTTTATAGTTTTCAGGAGCAGAAGAATCCACTTACACAAATATGTGGAAAGTGGTGGCTACGAGCAGAAAGTGCTACCCCTCCTGCAGGCTCCCAAGCAACACCATTCATTTTAACATCGTGCTGGGCTTCGCCACTGGGGATTATGAAAATCTTACCTATTCCTTTCCAACATGAATGTCATATTTGCTAAGCTCCTACTTAGAAATTCGTGAGGCAGGCTTGCTGGCTACTAATCTGATAATTGAATAGTACGTAACTTCCAGGCTTGGTGGTGCACACATCACCTGGAAGCCCAACAGCTGGAATACATAAGAAATCTCTGTCTTTTAAAAAATATTACACATGTGGTCATACAGCATACCTCAATCATTGAAAATATTAAGGGTACTACAAACATAAAACCATGAGAAACAACAGAAGAATACACACATGCGCTTAGTGCTAGCCTTTCAAACATCCTTCAGAAACCCACCAAACTACAGCTTCGCATGTCATTCATGACCACAGAACGTGGTACAATTCCAGGCAAAGTCACTCACAATCACGTTCACAGATAATTTTCAATTATCCTGTCTCAAGTACGAGTCACACCTAATCTAAAAATAGAGGCAAGGCGCAGTAACCCTAAGCAAGTCTCCATCATCCATGTTTCACACATCCAAGGAGACCGCACTCGTTTCCCCACCAAAAAAAAAGGGGGGGGGGCGAGACAAACCCCAACATGCGCCCCACATCCTCACAGGCAACGCTCGTGCTGCCCAAGGTTCTGCTCCCAGCCACTGAGCTTCCTTGCACTTAGAAACGCAAAGTACCCCTGCGCCCTCCGGTGACCAGCAGTCATCCTCAGGGTCACGCCCACGGACCACGCCCGAGGCCCTGTGCTGTGGCTCAGAGTGTCCAGGTCCCGCTTCCTTACCCCCCAAATTACCAGGCCCAGCTCGGCCTCCCGGTCTCCTCCCCGGCCTCCCCATCTGGATTCGCTCTCTCTGTCGCTCTCGGGATCCGGAGCATCCACTGCGGTCCTCAGCTTCTTCAGTCGCCCCAGTAGCCAGCAGCCTCACTTCCCGGCCGCGGCTCAGTCGTCTGCGCCTGCGCACGCATCCCGGGGGTTCGCACTCCCAGGAGCCTCTGGGGCAGCCCGTTAGATGCTCGGCGCCTGTCTCTCTCCCTGCTTCTGAACCGATGTCCTCTTGGCTGGGACTGAAAAGCTCGGCTTCAGGATCCCCTTCCTCTGTCGTGGTCATCTTTTTTCTCTTTCTTTTTCCCTGTGTGCTGAGTTGAGCTGACCCCGGGTCCGAGTGGAAGTGGTTCTTCCGAGTTCCTGGAACTTGGGACCCAGTGTGGGACTTTGGGACCCCGTGGCTGTCAGATGCTCGTGGGAATGCGTGGCTGCCTCGGTGTGTGGTGTGCCTAGTGATTAGGTGATTAGGTGACTGTGATTAGGTGATTAATCTGTGATTAGGTGACTGAATGGGACCGGGCTCTTTGTGATAATGCCATACTGTGACCACTTGATCTTGTGACAGCGCTATGCCTTGATCAGTTTGGGCCCAGTGTAGCCCCCATCCCCATTCTTAGTATAGCAGAATTTCATTTGACAGTTCTAAGCTGAAAATTATGGACAGGAGGTCCTCTTGAGACTGTGGAAGAGACTGCAAGGTGTGGCCCCTGTTGCATTCTCATTTCGGTCTGTACTCATTGTCTCCCCCACCGGTAATACACAGAAAACATCCAGTGTTACTGGGGGGCGGTAGGAGTGCAGGGCAGGGATGCCAGCGAGAAGTGGTTTCTTGGAATGTGTACACTGGGACTTCTGTCACTGCCACTCTCATTTCATCAGGTAGCCACACTGCGCAGAATGCAGTGAAATGGTTATTAAAAGGGAAGTTGATATTTGGAACCTAGAATGAAGGTTCAGACTTAAATACCACAGCCTTGTGTTCAGTATGGAGCTCTTAGAATGGGGATTTCCCCCAAGGTAAAGTGTAAGGGAAGATGGAGTCTTGAGGTTTCAAGAATAGGATTCCAATGGCCATTTTAGAAGTCCTGTGGTATTTATTAATAATTTTCCAATGATTTAATCCAATATGGTGTATTGATTGGTCATTCAACGGAAAAAGGCAATGATAAAACTACATTGATTCTCTCTTTTAGATGAAACAATATTCAATCTGAAAGGAATTTTTAATCCCAATTGTATGTTTTTTTGGAAGGAAAATCTTACTATCAGAAATGTGTTATTATATTGATGAAGTATTATTTCTTAAAAATATACAAGACTTCGTAGCCTAATTTAATTTGTTTTTAGTACTGTACTCTGTCATATTTCCAACCTATTCCCTCTAAGTGTTCATAATAGATTCCTTTTCCAATTCTTTAGAGAAAAAATGCTTTAAATGTTTATAGGTTTTACTATGTTTTTTTTGAAGGGGTGTAATTAATAATCTCACTGAGGAAAATATTCCATATACAAATTGACCTACGTATTTATATTTTTAGCGTTATAAATGTCATTAAGCACCGAAGTGCCTGCTGCACAAGCATGAGGACCTTAGTTCATCCTAACACCCACATAGGAAACCTGGTATGGGATGGTACAGGCTTGCAATTTCAGTGCTGATGAGGCAGACAGGAATATCTTTGGGATTCACAAGTTAGGGAGCCTAGCTGAGTCAGCAAGCCCCAGACTTCATGAAGGTGAACAGCTCCAGACATGGGACACTCAAGGATGTCAGCCAGCAGGCATACACAGATGTAAGCACACACACACACACACACACACACACACACACACACTCAGAGAGAGAAAGAGAGAGAGACAGAGACAGAGACAGAGAGAGAAACAGAGAGAGACAGAGAGAGAGAGAGAAACAGAGACAGTGTGTGTGTGTGAGAGAGAGAAACAGAGAGAGAGAGAAACAGAGAGAGAGAGAGAGAGAGAGAGAGAGAGAGAGAGAAACAGAAAGAGAGAGAGAGACTTGTTTTAAAATAGGTCTTGCTATGTAGCTCTGAATGACCTGGAATTCACTTGTAGACTAGCTAGGCTGACCTTGAACTTGCAGGGATATGCCTGCCCCTGCCTCCCAGGCCATAGGATTAAAGGCGTGCGCCACCATTCCTGGCACATTTTTAAGAGGCAAAAAAAAAATTTTTTTTGGAGATGGGGTCTCACTGTGTAGTCCTGGCTGACTGATGATGATCTGCCTGCCTCTGACTCTGGAGTGCTGGGATTAAGGGGAAGTGCCACCAAACCCGGCAGAAATATTCATTATCAATGATTTGATAATGCCATTTTTTTGTTTCCCCAACCTCCAAAATTCATGTGAATTACTTAAACGATACCTCATTAATTCTCAGTTGTAACTGGTTTTATTATATTTCAGCGCATGTCGGGAGAAAAGGGGAGCACTAATGACATTCAAATGAACCTTTTCAATATTTACATCTTTGGAAATTATGTGTCAATTATTCATAATTACTAGGAGAACAGGCAGACAGTTATGTGAAGCAGTACCCAGTTATATGTTTTTAAATATTGTTTCAAAGATTAAATGACATCCACAAAATAATATTAATCTCCTCAAACCAAATTTCTTAGGTGATATCATTGTATCAGCAGCGTTGTTGGTGCGGGAGAGATGGCTCAGCGGTTAAGGGCACTGGCTGCTCTTCCAGAGGACTCGATTCCCAGCACCCACACGGCAGCTCACAGCTGTCTGTAACTCCAGTTCCAAGGACTCTGATACCTGCTTTGGTCTCTGCAGGCACCAGAAACACAAGTAATATAGAGATATACCTCAAACCAAGCACCTATACTCATAAAACAAATACAATTTAAAGGAAAATTACAAGTTAGCCAGGCAGTGGTGGTGCACACCTTTAGTTCCAGTACTTGGGAGGCAGAGGCAGATGGATCTCTGTGAGTTAAGTTAGCCAGAACTAAATAGTAAGATCCTGTCTCAAACAAAAAGACAACCACATTGTCAAGATGGATTCATAATTTCTGCTACTAAGATGTTAGTTATTATATGAATTGAACAGGGAATAAGATTGATATTTAGTTAATATTTTCTTTCATTTTTATTTGTTAATTTTGAGAGAAGGTTGTGCAGCCCAGGCTGGCCTCAAACTGTCTTTGTAGCAGAGGCTAACTCCTGATCCTGTAGCATCTTATCCCAGTGCTGGGATTATAGGTGTATGCCACCATGTCTCTGTTAATATTTTAAATTTGTTACCTAATCAGATCAGATTGTCTAGGGCCAGTTTATGACTTTCTCTACATGCTATAATGTTTTGTTTGTTTTTTTTTTTCTGTGTCCCAGCACCCACTTTGTAGACCAGGCTGTCCTTGGACTCACAAGCATCTGCCTGCCTCTGCCTCCCAGGTCCTGGGATTTAAGGTGTGCACCACCACTGCCTGGCTATGTTATAATGCTTTAATGAGGACCAATAGCATTTTCAGGTTATGCTCTGTGATATACTAGCTTTTCAAGAAAGAAGAGACCCAGAATCCAGAACTAATGTCTCTGCAAACTGTAAAGACACACGAAAACTGCCCCCAGTAGGACCGAATCACAGAGCATTCAATAGTCTCACCATCTATAAAAACAGACAGCATCTATGGAGTGTATTCTAGATACTGAGGCACCACGTGGCAGCAGCAGGAGAGAGACAGTCGAGTGCTGCCACCAGCAGCTGAGAAACCCCTTTCCCCATTAGTGACTGTTACTAAGGTAAGCAGGATCTTTATAACCACAGAAAAGAATTTCAGGATAAGCCAGGGTGAGTTTAGTAAGCACTTAGATGGAGAGTCATATAGGGAAAGGGAAATATGCAGTCCCAAGACACGGTATGGGTTTACTGATGGACTCAGACACATGCTGGTGCCCTTACAATGGCTATACATATAGCCGTGTCATTTTATCAACTAGATTTCTTCTTCTTTTGCTTATAATTTTTATTAAGCTTCCTTTTTATTTGTTCTTTGTGTCTTTCACATCATGCATCTCAATCCCAGTCATTTCCCATCCCTTCGTATCCACCCTCTGCCCTTGTAGCACCCCCTCCCCAATAAAATAAAATTTGAGATGAAAAAAGAAAAGAAAAAAAGGAAAATATCATTATGGAAGCGCAGTGTGACACAGGGAGTCATGCAGCAAACCCTTCTATCCGTATATCTTTACTTCTAAGTGTTCATGCAGAGCCATTGGTCTGGCTCAAGGCCTCTGGTTTCTGCTACACTATCGATTCTGGGCTCTCACTGGGGCTCCTTTGGCTATCCTGCTGTTGCCCTGTGTCATGGAGATCCTGCAGTTTTGGATCTGCAGGACCAACCCCTTCACACGCTCCAGCAGATCACAGATGAGGTGAATGTTGGGATGCACCAATTCATAACCTTGGTTCTGGGCCTGGGTAGTTGCAGGGATGATCAGCTCAGTAGCTCTCCCCTGCCCTCACCACCAAGGTGAGCTCTCCAGCACTGCCCTGGTTAGTTCACTCCTTGTAGCAACAAGCAAGGAGAGGGCCAGTTCTCCTGCTTTTCCACCCTCAGGGGCAGTTCCCCCACACCTGGACCATCAGGGCCAGCTCTACTGTATTGCTCAGGTGAGGTGCAGGAGCCACTCTTCCCTGGGCTGCAGCTGGTGAGGGGCAGAGACAACTCTCCCACCTGCCACATGTGGTGAGGGGTGAGTGGGTGGGGAGGGTATTTCTCCCCGATCCACACCACCACATAGCAGACAGAGGGATGCAACCTGCCTTTCCATTCTCAAGCCCTCAAGGCCAGCTTGCCCATGACCCTGACAGCTTTATTATGTGTGGGGTGAGGTGTAGGACCCCCTCTTCTGAGTGCTTCAGTCAGCGAGGGGCAGGACTAGTTCCCCCTAGTATTGCAACCAGTGAAGGGCGGGACCCCTCTGCACAGGCCTAGCCTCTTGGCTTTTGGTGGTATCAGGAGCCTTGGACACCAACACAGCCCATGGCTGCATCAGGGTGATGAACCCAGACATGGGCCTCAGACCAGGCCCAGACAGCTCAGACCTCTTTAGAGCAGGATGCATCTATGATTGACTCATTCGCAAAGACTAATGGG